GAAGCATATCACAGAAGAAGAGGTTACAATAAAATTCAATATGTAAAAGTTCAAAATGAGCAATGCTATACACACATATGTGAAATATATATACACACATACACATTCATGGGTGGAATGTGCACCCATATAGTAAAGTTATATATATAGAAACAGAGTAGCAGTTATCTCTGCAGAAGAGGGAAGAGGATGTAGTCAGAAAGACAAACACGAAGATCCAGGTCGCTATAAAGGTTCATTTCTTAGCCTGTGTATAAAGTAGTTCCTGTTGGTTTAAACTTAGCCAATATATTTTTTATACAGCTTTATGAATACTTTCTTTTATAATAAGATTATATATAATACACACTTACAGTAAAGAGAACAATGACTAGGGTGTTTGAGCCGAGGGGTAGCAACTGATGCTTCAAGGAACTCGGGGCCCCCCACAGCGTGTGTCCCCACACGTGGCTCCTGCCTGAGCGTGGCCTCGCCCTTGGGCGCCTGCACTAGTGACTGTGGTTGTTACAATTTTACTCCCAGCCACCTCTGACTGCCGTCCTCACCCACCGGGCTCCTACAGCAACAAAAAAGCTGCCGCGTAACGTGAGAGCCACGATGGCCCGGAGTGCCAGGGGGTAGGGTGGAAGAGGGGTGCCGCTTCGGGCCTTCCAGGAGGAGTCAGGCTGTTGGCACTTCCTTCCCAGAGGGCCACCAGGGCCTTTCGTTTTGTAAGTGAGCAGACACGGGTTGCGGCTGAGCTCCTGCCAGCACATGGGCACAGGCAGAAGCAGCACAGAGGCATTCTGGGAGGCCCATGACACAAGCAGGCTCCGGTGACAGGACGAAGTCTGAGAGCTGGGAGCCGGTGACACAGCCCGGGCACAGGAGCGGCTCCTGGGGCGATTTGAACGATGAAGTGATAGGCACTCAATGCAGAGGAAATTCAAAGGACAGGGCAATCAATCACCGCCAAGGCTCTCTTCTGACAGGGAGCCAGGCTCCAGCTTCCAGATGTAACATTAAAATGTAACGTTGCCCCTGGGACCCAGCATGGCAGGTTTCCCCGAAGCTTCGGTTTCACTTGGTTAGCTAATTAGGAGAGAATGTGACACTGTTTTTTTTTTTTTTTTCCTACAGGGACAAATCCTTCCCAGCAGGAGGGACAAACTGTTGTGTTTGTTCTGTTTTGTTTTGTCATTAAAAAGAAATGACTGATGCTCTAGTAAATAAACTCTTGTTGGAAAAAAAGGATTTTTTCCTCTATACTTCTATCAACTCACTTTACTGCTGACCCTCACTACTTTTGTTTTCTGAGGACATGGTGGGTAGGTGAGTGTTAGAACTACACTGCGTCTGAAAATGAATTCTACCACTTACTGGCTGTTGATCTAAGCAAGTTATTTGAGAACCCTGACCTTGTTTCCCGGCTAGAGACCCGAGGATAACATCTATTTTTCAGTGTTACTCGTGAAAAATGAAATGAGAAATACTGTAGTTGAAGCACTTTAGCACCGTGCCTGCACTTAATAAGAACTCAGTAAATTTTATCCTTTATTTTTAATGATTCTGATCCTCTAGTATATAAATAGGAACATTTTCTATTTCTTTTATGCCTGTATCATCAACTCTACACGACCGCATATCTAATCATAAACCGAACCTTTACTCGAGTTTATACAGGCTAAGGTAACCATTTTACTCCTTCTGACCCAGATGGAAAAAGTCTTCCCATGAAAGTCTTATCTTTCACAATAACGTTGAAAGAAAGAGTTTTCCACCGCCACCCCTCCCGCCCACTCCCCAGCACATCGTAGGCTGCACCACTGCTGAGCAGGCAACATCAGTACACACCTCCCCTTGCGCGCTGCTGCGGCAACAACAGCATTTCGTTTGGGTGCTTTTTAACAGGTTGGAAAGTGGATCCACAGGCGAGTTCCCATCTGAGCTCGCAACAATCCCACGGTGTGGGCCGGGTGGATGTGAATAGCCCTGATTCACAGACAAGGAAACAAGCTCAGAGAGCGTAACTGGCAAAGCCACAATAGTCGAGCATATTTTCTATGAAAAGGTAACGTGGGAATTGAGAAGCCAGTGTAACTGAACCCTGGAAAATTAGATTCTCTCACAAATGAAGTCTGTTTTGGAGCTAGTCGATGTGATCAGTTATTAGAAAGAGAAGTGTGATCATTGGTGAAAAGCAAATAAAATAGACAGTTCACAGCAATTGGATTTTATATTTTAAGGCCACAAACTTTTGCCCAGTGTGCCCCAATCCTCCCACACATAAGGCTGAGAGAGCAAAAATGCCACCTCTTATCTCTCTTACAAGTATTTTGCAGTGTCACTGCTCTGTACAAATGTAAGCTTAATGGTATGATATTCAAGAGATTTTATGCTAATCAAGGAAATATGAACACCAAAAAATGCAGGAACATAAGAAGACACATTTTAAGTGCTAATAAAAAACCTTGGTGGTAAAGAAAGGAATAAGAGTATTTTCTAAGGATACATGGGCTAAAAGGTTACAAAAAATTGGATTAGATAAATTGGTATTATAATTTTACATTACAGATTTGAACAGTTTTGGAAAGTAGCAGAGTCAAAAGTTAGAGGCATGTAATACATTTTTTGCAGCCAGGAAAATATAAATGCCTTTTAATTTGGACGATGCTTTTTAATCATATATACCAGTTCTTAAAAGAATCAATTCTGAAGTAGTGCTATTAATACTGAGCCAGTCTTTCTCTGGTAGTGACCATTCCCAGGACACGAGCATAGGCTCACTGACAGCTCATGACCTTAAGAATTCCCAGCAGACCATAGAGGTGCAATTCCGGAATCCCTCCTCCTGCCTTTTTCTGGAATAGGCGATAAGTTCTTAGTGATTGGAAGGCAAAGGCAAACAAAGGTCATTAAGGGGAATTTTAGTTCAAAATACAAACCAAACACAAACTTCATTTGAACCTGGAGGGCCAAGGACCTCTAATTTTACAATTAAAAACCCATCATACCAACTATTGATGTCATACCAACATCAATAAGCAAAATAGCATACAATCTAGGATGAGGTGTCCAATGTGTGGCCCACAGGCCACATGCGGCCCAGGATGGCTATGAATGAGGCCCAACACAAAATCGTAAACTTATTAAAACTTTTTTTTGCTCATCAGTTTTCATTAGTGTTTGTGTATTTAATGTGTGGACCAAGACAACTCCTCTTCTCCCAGTGTGGCCCAGAGGCGCCAAAAGGTTGGACAACCCCGATTCATTGCTAGGTGGCCGGTTGCCTAATTCCAACTTGCTTGGGCCTGAACATAGTTTTCCCATGATTCTTCACAGAATATGACAGAGCTTCATTCCAATACTGAGAGAAATTTTATGATAGCAGAACAGGCCTGCCCAAAATTTCCTCGCTCTCTCCTTAACGCATGCATTTAATAAACATCTTTTCAATGTTTGCTACTCATTGGGACCGATGTCTAACCAGAGAGATTTCCCTGTCCCCGCGTCTAACAGGGGAGACAGGTAAATCAAGCATCAAATGTATGGGCTGAATTCTGGAATGAAGGAAGCATTTCATGCAGGGAGAAGTGGGTCAGGGAGCTCTCACGGAAGAGGAGAGGATTAACAAAGTCTCAGACGACAGGTGCACTGTGCAAGCGGCAAAAAGGAGGTGCGCTCTCCTCTCCGAGGAACAGTATGGAGAAAAGCAGGAAGACATGAGAAACGCGGTGAGTTCCAGACGTCAGACGTAGTTCTGCCCGGTTAGATACAGAGCATGGATAGCGATGCCCAAAGATGCAGGGAGCAGTTGAGGACGACAAAGATTCCATCATTTGGAACTTCCTAGTCCTTGTTAAAATACAACATTGGAAAGCTGGATATGATTATTGGTCTTCTGAAAATATTTCATCCTACCGGCCTTGGGCATAGATTTTTCTCATAGAGCAATCAGTTTGGTGGTATCTAGGAATACAGTGAACTAGGGGTACAAATCTGGAGGTACAAATGCCGGATAAAAAACAATTTTAAAACTCCAAGAAAGACATGGAGAAGCCCTAAAGGAAGGCATTGGGGATGGAAAAGAGAACAGAGATAAGAGAAATGCAAAGAGAAGCAGAATGACCAGGCAGACACAAGGGGATGAAGGGGGCAGCTTAAATCAGCTTTCGCGGCTCTTACTTGGCTGCACGAACGGGTAACGGTGCCCTTGGCTACACAAGGGGCTGCGCAGGGAGAAGGCCGGTCGTCTTCTCAGAGGCCTCGCTTATCCCTCGTTTATAGGGTCGACCCCATTTCACTTTGCCCGGCAGCAGCGGTGCGTCACTCCCCCACAGCCTTCCCCACCGGCCCCCTGAAGCTCCTCAGGGGGAAGCGTCCCGCATTCCACGACACACAGCATGTTTGTATCGCACGGCCGCCTGGCGTGAGGGACCCACTGTAGACACTTAACGGTTCTGTGCATTGACTGAATAAATGAACAACTCCAAAAGACAGAGGTGACAAAACCACACATTGTATCCCTTGAACAAAACAGTCGTTTCTTAAAAACTCACCTCAGCTGGATAACAATTCATCCCACTTACCAATTAGCTTCACGTCAGACTCATAACACCCTGTGTTATGAGTGTTGGACACCCCAATGTCCAAACTGGAAGGGACTTCTAGGAATATCTACTACAAAACCCCATTTTATAAACATCTGTAATTCAGAGAAGTTACGTGGCTAGCCCAAAGTCACAAAAAGTTTCTGGCGAGGGGACAGAAGTCAGGCAGAATACATCATACTTTAATATTTGTCAACCAAAACGGTTGTGACATATTCAAAGAAATACAAGATATTAAATTCAGCTAGGATGAATTAAGTTTTTAACAGTACTTGACATTTCACACTAGACAAATAGAAGGCAAAAATCTTAGAGACACTTTTAAAAATAGTTCTTCCCTCTTACAACGCAATACAAGGACCAGAGTTCAACTTTTAATCGTGAATTAGTATAAGTAAAACAGATTCTTACCGTGATCTTCCGAAGAGACTGGTGACCTAAAATGAGATAATAAGCATGATAAATCTTTTGGAAATGACACTGATAATTATATGTATAACAATGATCAAGAATAATCTTATACAAATTATACCCCAAAGTTCAGTTAAATAGAAATTCAATAGAGAAGATGATGTCATTAATGTTTTGGTTGGATGGTATATTCTAATCAATAACTCCCATCAAATTACTCCCATCAGTAACTCCCACAGCTTACCTGCAGTGGTTGAGAGACAGATGCTACTAAAATGTTTTCTGCATAGTGTCACAGGACCACACAAACTGAGTTAAGTCTGGGCTCATCACACACAAAAGGAGAATTCATAGAAATGTAATAATAGATGAAATCCCCTTAGGCCAGAGTGTCGCTAAGTGCCCGAGTCCAAGCCCCCAGAGATTACTGATGACCAAGTTGGGAAAAGAATGGTTTAATGGATCCATAGTGGTTGAAGAAAAATTCTAGCTACTTTGGGATGCTGGATTCTACTTTACTTCATCTACCGATCAGTAATATTTCCCATTCCATTATGTGACTGAGCGGTAAGGTATAAAGACAGAGGAGTGTCATCATTGGAAAAGCGTGTCATTATTTCCACTTGCGGGCCTCTTCAAGTAACCTTCTGCATGTAAAAGTGGCAGAGGGACCCAGGATTTTGTGGGGAGGAAACTGGTGTCTGGGAGATGGACACAGGGAACAGGGAGAGGGACCCTCACCCTAAGTCATCACCGCAGAGTCAGCTGCTTCAGAGCGATTACTGGGCCGCCCCAGGCGGGTCTGATCAGTCCTCTCCTTGGAGAGCCCCTGTTCCACACTGTCCACTCACTGGTCTCCCCTCCAGGGTTGTGAGCTCCTTGGAAACTAGGGCCACATCTTATTTAAGACATAGTGGGCGCCGATTGAAATGTGTTGAATTCATCTGAGCCCCACTACACCGGTGTTCAGACTCGGACACATTCTGGGCCTCCTCAAAAAGTCAGCACGTCACCTTCGAACGCCCTTCAAGACACCTTTGCCAGCTCCTGTGCCAGCAGGCAGGGAAGCACCTAAGGAATGAGCCTGAAGCTCCAGGTTGGTGACAGTGCAGCATCTCTCAGAGCCCAAAGACACCCAGTGCACCTGGCAATGGATGTCTTTGCACCCACAATCTGTTTAACGAATAGGAAAAAATAAAGGAGAGGGTGTGGAATACAGGTGAAATTGGGCTGGAAGGTGAGTCTAAAGAAAAACATGTACTGAAATAAGATGAAATAATTTCTTAAGCTGCCCAGGGCATTAAAAAAAGAGAGAGAGAAAGAGAGAGTTAGCAACAAGGAAAACTTCACTCCTGGTGTTTTCTGACGGGGAATGAGCAAAAACGTGTCTCAGATTGTTTGCAGTTAATTTCTCACAAAACTACAGGAACAAAGAAAAACTCATGAAAACGAGCAGCTCAACTTCTCAGGCGGAGGGCCTGGGCGGCCATGTTTCTGCAGCCTTTCTGCAAAAGCAAAGAACTAATAGTAAATCTGAAAAGTTCCAGATGGCTCCGTGCGAGTCCCGTGGGGATGCACTGCGTGGCACCCCCAGGCCGGGGGGAGGGACTCCGGATTTCAGAGTGTTTTCGGAGGATTAGCCCTGCCGAGTCTCCGTGCGGAATGTCTCCCACACGCCGGGATCTGTGCAGCTCCGAGACGCATGGAGCATGTCACTCCACACTCAGTGTTTCACCTGGCTCTGAAACTAGTCACTAAATTATACGGCTGAGACCTGCACAGGAGACTTTATGCCTGAAATGGGCATGAAATGTTTTTCAGAACTGAGCTCCGGAGGGAAGAAACATTGTGAAATCAGCAATATAAGTGGTTATTTTTTTAAAGCAGAGGGGCTGGTCCCCAGGAGCGGATCATCTTCCTCTGCTTGACAACCCAGGAATGCAGAGGCACATGTTCCTCGTCTTGCCTCTGCACCGGGGAGACTGGTGGCTTGGTCCCAGAGTGTGGACTCTGCCTCTGTATTCACTTTATCTTGGCAACAGCATGGGCTAAGGTACCGCGAGCATTCAGGTAACTCCAGGATTTAAAGTTCTCTTCCTCACATTTTTCCTGATCACTAGTCTTTTATTACAGCCTATAAAATATTTATATTTTATTTTGCATTGTTTTATTTTGGGGTATGTCTTACATTTTTATTTACATTTCACTTAGGTTCAGCACAGTAACACAACAAACACACAAACTCAAGCCCTGCATTTAATTTTTTTCTTCCTTCTTCTTGAATCAGAATAATTCTTATTCAGGCTTGACTCTTTCCATTTGTGTTGATTTAAACCTGAATGATAATTATTACTTAAGACCCTACTAAGTTCCAGGCCCTGTGTCAAGCGATGGAGATACCAAGGTGAACAAGACACCAACTTCAAGGAACTAGTAATCCAGTGAAGAAGGAAAAATTGTAAACAAATGATGACAATTAAGTAAAAAAAAAAATGTAACGACCAAAACATACATAAACTATAGAAGAAAGACCAATCATGTCCCCAAAGAGGGAAAGAAGGCTTCAGGGAGCAAGAACCATCTGAGCTGGGCTTTGCAGGACAAGTAAAGCTTAGCAGGTAAGTAAAAAGGGAGACGTGTCAGGTAGAAGCAACAGACACAAGAAAAGGAGGGCACATGTGTCATTTCACAATCTGTTATCAGCTCTACATGTAACCCAGTGTTGTCAATATGTAATGGAGTAAAGGCAGAACTAGACACATAAAAGACAAGGCCCTTTCATCCCACACTAGTGGGTCCAAACAGAACCTACCGATGCACATATGAGTAATAAGCAAAAAGGAACCAGCACATCTACACAAAAATGCCCGAAGAAGGAAACAGGACAAGGATGTGCCAACAAACGGAGTCTGGGGACATACTGAAAAGATGCAGCATGGAGCAGGTAAAAACTGCTCACAGATTTCTCTGAAATTTAGAACGGGAAAAAAGGGAAGGGAAGGATGAAGGGAGATATAAAGGGAGGAAGGAATAAAGGATGGAAATGGAGCTCTTGGTGAACAGAAACTTAAAGAACTTACAGCAGGGAATGAACACAGGTTCACCTGGAGTCTTTGAACTAGTCAGTTGCAGAGAAAGCTTGCGGGCCTTTTCCTTTGTGGTGCCATCGCACAGGGAAAGAAGATGAAAGGGAGAGGAATAACAATGGAAAATATATTAAGAAACGATCCACTGATTTATTCATCCAGTCGAGCTTTGTGGAAGTGCTTTGCTTTTCTTCATTTTAATTTACTTTTCTACAAATTTTGACTCGAAGATTTTGCTGGTAAAAGTCCGCTTCCAAATGTAACCCTGCGTGGTAGAATATCCATGCTTTTCTCTCCTTTTAAACGAAGGCAGCACTTCTCAAACCAGGGGGCACGTGGGAACTGGAAAATGAAGGAGGCTCCAGGGAAACAGGACATTATTTTTAGATGGGAAATTATATAATTGAACTGGTAAAATTATAATATTTTTATATTAAAACCGGAACAGCCATATTATGGATTCAAAAGCAAAAGTTGCTTGAATCCTTAAAATAAAGCAATAAACCTCCAAAAAAAAAAAAAAAAAAAAAAAGCCTGTGTGTAAAGCAGATGCTTCAGGTAACATCTCCGTGGCTCCCAGGAGGGCGTTTGTCCTGGAATAGGGATGTTTCCTAGGGAAAGTCTGGAAATATGTAACGATCCACCTAAACACACTTGGAATGAACCATTCTATAAGATTAATGTGTGGAGACATCTAGAATCTGAGGGAATGAGACATAAACATGGGCCAGTAGCTACTGTATTGGACAGACCTTGTCGTCACTTAAAACACGAGGAATCTCTAAGACACTCAAAGGTAGTTGCTTCGATTGCCTTCCATCCACATGCTGCCCCTCAAGCCTTCTAATCTTTCAAGTAGATCAATTACAAGTCTTAAGGACACTGAAGTGTGTGCCCAGTCTTCTACCAGCAAGGCCATAATATGGAAGAGCAATGGAGTGTTATATTTATGAAGGCCATACAGGGCAATACAGTCTTTTAGAAGCGCTGCACTTCTTGTGATGTTTTATTGTTTTTAATCAACAAACCTGGAACGGAGGTGGGTCTCATGACTAGTTCAGCCTTTACGATGTGCTATAATGCTCTGCACTGTGTTTGTGGTGCATGCATTTCTTGGCGCGCTCAATGAAATTTTCTAAATCTACAAGCCATCCTAACACAGTATCTTTTTAATTTGAGTAATGCTGTCCTGACTCTGCTTTTTTTTAGCCTCTATAAAACATTTTTCTTTTCTTTTCATTCCTTGGCTTTAGTTCAATAGCATCCATGCCTCATCCTACTTGGTCCTCCATGGTATGCCTGTATCATCTCTTTCCCTGGGGAGAGGCAGAGGGTCAACAGACTATCCATTTTAGAGAACTTTTCCTAAAGATGAAGGATAAATTAGATGAATATTGGGGACCCATCGACATGGGTCTATTACTTTCTGGAAAGAACCACCCCGCAAATGAATGTCTGTCTCCCTTCCCAATGTCTCTAACACATACACTCGCTACTGAGCATTTATAAACCATCACCTGGTGGGGAGTTGGCCAAGAGATGGAGTCACATGGAGGAGAGCTAAGAACAAACACCCAGGACAGGATAAGCCCCGAGTCTGACCTGGCACAAGAACAGAGATCCGTATTCTGAAAACACCGAGCAATGGAGTGTTTCCCTAAAACTGCGGATAAGGGAGGGGCGCTCTACGTAGTCACCCCAACTCCCAGGCCTGGCTGGAGGGGCCAGGGCCCCCTCATTTCCTGGTCACCACCGTGGAATTACAGAGAAAACAAAGGAGGAATGCTTTCATAACAGCTAGAGGCTGTGCTATCTCTCCGCTCGCTTGGCACACCACAAATAAACTGTTTCCTGGCTGCGAGGGCCTCACGGGGGAACAAAGACGCACGCACATTGAGAGCGACTCTCTCGTAATAATTTTCTCCTTACGCCACCTTTCC